TGTAGTTTAAAACTTTTTTTTAATTACTTTCTAGATGTTTAAAAAAGTATCTTTTTTTCTCTTACTTAACATTAGTTGTTTTTAAATGGCTCATTTTTAATTTTTGGTATTTTAACTTTTAAGCTTAGAAACCCAGAAATGTAATATCAAATTTTTGACCGTGAATCTAAAAATTAATTTTGGATTTCATAGTTGCAGAGCATTATAATACATAGACAAAAAGAAATATTTTAGAGCTCATATCAAACTTTTGTACATTTATCTACAGTGAGAAATGAAAACGTAGGTTTCTCAGTGTTCTTAATAATGACATTATCTGGAAACAAAGTCATTTGTAGTAAACTAAAAACTATGCAAAAAGTTTAACTGAATAACAAAGTAATAATGACATGCTTTAAAATAAATATTAGCATCTGCTGTTTTGTTGCTTATCTTTCTACAGTGCCTGGCATGGCCAGGTGGATAAGGCGCTCGACTCACAATCTGAGGGTCGCGGGTTCGAATCCGCATACCACCAAACATGCTCGCCCTTTCAGCCGTGGGGGTGTTATAATGTGACTGTCAATCCCACTATTCGTTGGTAAAAGAGTAGCCCAAGAGTTGGCGGTGGGTGGTGATGACTAGCTGCCTTCCCTCTAGTCTTACACTGCTAAATTAGGGACGGCTAGCGCAGATAGCCCTCGTGTAGCTTTGCGCGAAATTCCAAAAAACAAACAAACAAACATCTTTCTACAGAATCAGTCAAGTTGCTTTATAATTGTCTTCACATTTTTAGTAAAGACTTATTGAGATGAAACCTGACTTTCCATCATTCCAACACAATGTAAAACTTGGAAAACACTTGATGTACAAATTAGAAAAAAAAAAGAACTATAATTGTCTTTACTCTAAATAAGTTTTTATTAGAAATCAAACAAGATTTGACAAAGTTTATTGGATAATTATTGCTGCCCTTGTGGTCGATACAATAATGTAACTTGTGTATCTCTTTTTACGTGTAAGAGCAAAACGTCTTTCTCCTCCCGCCAGGAAGAATGAGAATTACCCATCCCATTATATTTCAATACACATTAAGAATTTTCTTGAAAATAAAGTAATGGCACATTTCTTTTCAGAACTGGGAGGCCGAGACTTGTCTTGTGTCATTTCCAGTTTAGTGCAGATTCTTCTGGATCCATTTTGTAGAACTCAACATGGTTTTGAATGTTTGGTGCAGAAAGAATGGGTTGCACTAGGTCATCCTTTTCAAGAAAGACTTGGTCAAATTAAAGTGGAGGAAGTACATCAGGTAGGTTTAGGTTTTGTTTTACATTCAAGATATTGTATCTATTTTTCATTTAATTTTTCCTAGGTCTCAGTTCAGAGCACAAGGTTTTGAATAGTATTAAGTAGTAAGACATATTTATATAGTCAGTACATTGTACAAAACATTTTTGTTCATATTGAAATAAATGTTCTTTCAGGTTGTACCAGTAGATGTTTTTTTCATTTATAAATTTATATTTTTTCTGAAAACTTCTAAACAACGTAACTGTTTAATACGCACCACATAACGCTAAGCTTACATGCTGATGTGATTGGCTCTTTATATATTATATATTTTATGTTGTTTTCTTTGAAATTCTAATGTCATTTAAATCAGTTTTGTAAATGTAAACATGGTATCATTTATTTGCTTTTTAAGAGGTACCCACTCAACTTACGAACAGTGTGAAGTTTCGAGACATCTAGTTGTGTGATAATACATTTATTTCTCGACAATGTTTCATCTCTAACAGTGAAACATGTTGTATATGATCGTGTCTCACTGTTAGAGATGAATAGCTGAACATAAATAAATTTATTATCCCATGAATAGATGTCTCCCGTCTTTGTTTGCAATAAAAACTGGTAAGTTACTATAAGACTACAGAACGTAGAATATTTAGAGCTTTTAATTTTAAATTTTAGTGTGTATCAATAGGTATCATTTTTCTGAAGCATAATTAATTACTTTTGTTGATAAAAATAATTGTTATTAAGATCTTATCTGTCTTCAAGTTGCATTTTTTTTCAACCAATTCCTTTTTTTTGTATTATTAGTATCAATTTATTTATAGCTTCAATTTTACAGATTTGTTTATGGTATGATTAATACATATTATGAGGTTTACATAAGTCTTTGAACATTGCTAAGGTACAAATGCTAAATTTAATGCTAATTAAACAAATAAAACACAACAGTAATCATGAGGAGAAACAACAGTAAGAAAACACAACACATAAAAAAGGAAAATCTGTAATACGAACATATTTTCCACATCAATTTATCGAAAAAAAAAGACGTCCACTGGTCTCCTTACACACTTGTTACATGCTTACTAAACAGAACTTACAACCTGTGCTCCATGTATCTTAATCTACACTCTTAAATTTTGTTCTTGCATGATATCCTGAAACGTAACTGCTACCCACAACACTTATTAGTAAGCATTACCAATACCTTCCTAACAAAGAAACTCGCAAATCCAATTAAGATACCAACTGTACCCAAACTTACTATATACTCGTGTCTTCCCTATACTGGTAAACAAAGCTTAACTTTCTAAAATCAATTTAAACGCATACTTGGTCATTACTACCCTCAAGTGTATTTCAGATTAGTTTTTGAATCCACATCACGCATACAAAATGTTTTCCCTACTAAAGATCTCCTCCCCATTCCTTATTGTTCCTAGCTTGTCTATCTTTACACGTGTGGAGACTGTAAGACCTCCTATATTGGCAAAACCAAATGCCATTTAAAAGTCAGAGCCTATGAACATATGGGAATTTCCATCAAAATGCAAAAAAAAATTGAGTAACCCCTGTGTTTCCTCTATACGCCAACATAGTGAAGAAACAGGACATTGACCTATGCTATCAAACTTTTCTATCCTCTGTAAGTCTAATACTGACCTGGAATTATTGATTAAAGAAACTCACCACATCAAACAGCATTCTCCAACACTGAACAATATGCAGTCTTTATTTAAACTATACATTTTTTTAATATGTTTGTATTACTGATTTTACTTTTTTGTTGTTGTTGTTGTGTTTTCTTGCTGTAGTTTCACCTCATGATTACTGTTTTGTTTTATTTTTTTAATTATATTATGAGGTTATTGTAAGTTTTTAAACAGTTTTTTTTCATCTTTTCATACACTGATTTTTCTGTTTGCTTTGATGCTTTTCATTCTTCTGTAGCATTTGATATAATTTGTTATATTTATAATTAGAAGTATTTAACCTTAGCCTTGCTTTACAACTACAGGATGTACTCATATCAGTGGTTCAAATTTTTCAGTCTCCAGTGTTTCTTCTCTTCCTGGACTGCATGTGGCAAATTCTACAGCAATTTCCATCCAAATTTGAGTTCACAGAAACCTATCTTACTAATCTTTGGGACACAGTACATATAAGCTGTTTTGGTACTTTCCTCTTTAACTGTCATAGAGAACGTATAAATGTGTGTAGCAAGCAATATGATTCACGTAGGTTACATTCTTCATGGGACTGGTCTCTCCAATTTACAAAACAGGACATGATCCTTTTTAAAAATCCCTTGTATATTCTCTCAGCTCAGGAAAATGAAAATCACCCTAGACCGTGGTCACTTGCTTGTGATGGCCCATGGAATTCTCGTAATCGGCCATTTACTCCTGCAAAAAAAATGGAAGAGAAAGAAAATACTTTGTTAGAACTTGATCCGTCCGTAACGAGGATGCAACTCTGGACACAGTGCTACCTCCGTTGGGTTCCGATGGCTCAGGTGGTTGGAGGAGGTCTTCCCGTGGTCTATCTGCAGAATGCAGTCATTTGGGATGAGATTTGTACATTAGAGAAGCTTTTACTCTCATTACCAGAACCAGCAAATCTTCGTTATCGGCGTGTGGCATCTGATAATAATTTATTTAGGAGCGAAGGTGACAACTCATGTGGAGTAAAACATGATTCTCACATTGTTACTTCAGCTTTCCCATATTCTCCAATTGGACCTTTTGACTGTCAACATTTTCACAGAGTCCCATCAAGTTCATGCCTCCTTGTGGATGTGGTTGGTACTGATCAAGAATTGGATGAATAACCTTTCAAGCCCTTCCTATTCAGCTTGGACCAATATTAAGAGTATAATTGCTGAAGCCGTATTAAGTGTTGCTGGAATGGAATTATCTTTTTACTGGTGATAATTTTATATTGAAGGAAAATGAAATCAAAGAGTTTATATAGCTAATGTGCCTCAGCTGTAATTGTGACGTAACTACATTTTCTAATGTTTTATTTTTTATAATAATTACTAGATATTTATGTATTTCTACACAGCTGATTCTATTGATATTTTTTTAATTTACTGAAATATTTTTGCTAAATTATGTCAGTTTTTGTTGGATGACAAGAAACAAATTGTAATATAAATATACTTAGGAAATGATATACATAATCAATGAAAATGTATGAAATATGTTATTTTATAGCTAATAATCTCGCGTACAAGGAGCATAGTAGTGGTGTACTATAGTGTTGTGACAAATAAAGACGTCCAACAAACAAGATCTATAATTTGATTAGACCAAAAAAATACAAAGAAAATAATATGGTTCATGGTGCTTTTACTAAAATCAGAAAAGTTACAATATTGCAAAGGCAGTATTAGGAAGTGGGAATCGACTTAGGGACACAAAATGAGATGGAAATATATTAGTTATGCACTTGAGCAGGTAAAATGTGATGCACAAGAGTTAGTGATGTCTATGTATGTATATTACTGTCAATTATGATGTCTTAGGACAACTAAAGAAGAAAAAAAAACTTTTTTCGTTAACTGGGGCAAAATAGGAAACAGAAAAAAAGCTTAAAATTGTTATCTTGGCGTAACACTTAAAAGAATTATATCATGCGAAATTCATAACAAAACAAACACATTAGAACTGGCAGAGGTTTTGTGATTCCCTCATCTTTATTGCTCCTTTCTAGAACTTTAAGAAAAAACAGACAAGGGAAATCAACAGTGTGAAAATGACAACCATATGCAAACAAATGTGAATATGACAATAAACATCTCAGTTGATTGAGAATAAATAAAAGTAACTTGTGTTTTTTGTTAATCACAATATATTTTGGAGAAAACTGGAAATCAAAATTTCTCATTTCTTTTGTACATTATGCAAGATTGAGATTTTACAAGACAAAAATCAACTTTTCTAAATTTATTTAATGTAAAAGTGTAGTATTTTCAGGTTAGTCTTCATAATGAAAGGATCAGCAGAAAAAAAAAGTAATACTGTATTTAACTAAACTACCTGAGTTTAAACAAAGAAGTAAACAAACTGGAAATAATATGTGATACAGGTTAAATCAATCTTTTTTCAAATAATTGTCAGAAACCAAGTATATGTACTTGTTTTTTTTAGTACTTTACAGCTGTCTTTCACTGGATTGATTAACTGGCTTTCTTCCTTCAAGACGTCTTCTCTTAAACCAACTCGTTTAAGCTAAGGAACAAGAATGTTTATTCTACCATGATCTATTACAGAATGTTTAAAACTATAATTTCCTACTTAGTATTTACGCATAGTGACTAGCGCTAACACGTGACTGGTTATCTTCATGAGGTGTGACCTTGAAATAATACCTGACCTACCATTGGAGGACAATGGCTATAAGCATTCTTGCACAATGTGCACTGTTACAGTCATTCCACCCATGGGCAGAAGAGGGATGACCTCAATAGAATGATAAGGAACAAAGGCAGCTAGAACGAAATAAACTTAACTTTCTAGAGTATATGTTATGTGAAAGCTGCAAAGCACTAGAATAAACATTTCTACATTAAACTAAGAAGATAGAAAATGCATGGAATACCTATGTATTACAATACAGAACTGTGTGCTTGGTTAATCCCCTTAGCTAAAATATACATTTTTCAAAATTTTTATAGCATGCAGCAATCTGGAAATGAGTTAAGGTTCCATGTCATAGACCTTGACGCTGAGTAGGCACAAATCTTGTATACAAGGAATGTTTCATGTACAAATATGACTTTATGTATTCCCATTTTGTATTTAACACCGAATTTGGGAGTTTGAAGTAGTTATAGAGAGGTTTCACGGTTTTCAGTATTCGAGCTAGAACTAAAATAATGTAATCTAATAAAAAAAACTTGATCTGTTAACCTAAAAAAAATCGCTATTGTCAAGAGAATTAACTTCACAATGATGTTTTGCCACAAAGAAGTGGAGTTTAGAGGTTTGGCCGGACTGCATTCCTCTTGTACAAAATAATAGAAGTTTTCATGTTGGCATGCCATGATTGGTATAAAAAGTGCTTATGAATATTAGATCCTTATTGGTCTATATTCCCTCATTTTCCATGCTGTCCTGGTGCTACTGCTATCTCGTCCTTCACACACCACACTAGCTCCTGCAACCAACTTGGTGAGTATTTGTCTATGATTCCAAGCAGAAACCATTAAAACAGTACATCCTTGGCCATCTCTATCGACAGAGCTCGCGAAAACCATGGAGAACACGGTTATATGTAGAGAAAGCTGAGGAATCAACAGTTTCATCCATTACTGCGTTTTGTGTGAAATTTTGGATTTATGTATGGGTTTTACTCCACCATAGTCTGGAAACTAGCACAAATTCAACTTCGTTGGTGGGTAATTCAGATTACAAATATTGCAAAGAGTTCAAATCTCTATTCAGAATATAAAAAGAGAGTACCAGAAAACTGTTTGGTAATCAACCCACCAAAACTGTCTCGTTAATTTGAAAAATGGATGTTAAAATTATGTTTGTCTTTATAAGATAGGATTTTTAAGACTTTAATGATATTCAGGATTTTTATAGTTTAGCTGTAATAGTTATAGTTTTAAACATTCTTGTAACTTTAACTCGCTATTTGGGAAGGAGACACCAGTTTTATATTTTGGTGTTGTTAACAGTTATTTTATACCATTATTTTTTACAGTCACTTTGCGGAGTGAATAGTGTGTTTTTAAATAGTATTTAGATACTTTATTTAGTCTAAATGTTTATATAATATTGTTGCGTCATCGAGATCACGTGACTATTCTCACGCCCTCTAGTTTCTAGAACTATCTTGTTCCTTCACGAATGCCCTAGCATTTACTAGATAGGGTAGACTGGTATATATAAGAGGGCGACAACGTGACGCGG